TTATACTATTATTTGGATGTAAAATACTTTTTAATATTTTTCTAATATCTTCAAAATATTTTGTTATTATTAGGTGTTGGAATTAATTCGTAGCGTTTTACAAGTGATGGGAAGTACTTTCATTAATGTATTTTTTAATGCTCATGTGAAATAAATAACATTCTTTCATTAAAAACGCTACGAATTAATTCCAACACCTAATACAAAATCAATACATTTGCAAACTATAATTTTCTCCAACAACATATAATATGATTCACATTCTAAAAATTTAAAATCAATACGTCAGTAATTTTTCTTTAATGTATTTCGAAAATTGTATCAAGTACGAAACAATCGGCACATAGGAGACAATTGTAGCAATGCACAATCCATTTTGATATAAAATATTAACATTTAATTATATATCACTTTCTAAGCCACTCTTTATTCAATTATATCGCTACGTTTTACACTCCAGAAGAGAGATTGACATGATTATTTATCTAATCGCTTGTAAGATACACAAGGCATGAATAAAGTATACAATGACGTGACGAGAAATTGCAACAAGATATATGGCTGTGTACCAAAATTCATTGCCAGTGTTAAAAACTTACAATGTACGTAATGTAAACTGTACATATAGATTCTTTTGTTTGTCGCTAACAGTGAATTTTGGACACAATCATATAGAGAATTAAGCACGAAATTCGAGCAGGTAAATTTTTAAATTAATCAGCAATTACCTCGAAGAATGGACATTGCTCGTTTTATTTTTACGATAATATCTCAGCAGCAGGGAACATTTGTGTCGGTGTGCACTCATACATTCGTAAGTGGCCACGCGTCTTGTTCGAATCGGATCGGCATGGCGCGTGACCAATGCGTGCGATAACGCGATTCCGACGATCGTGACGCGTATAAATTTTAATGTACACGACACAAAATTCACGTGTGAATTCTCAGGGAGAACTTACTTGGCATACTTAATGAACAATAAAGAAGAGACAGCACATTCTAACGCGCACAGAGATCGCTCGTACTTTCATCTGTCGATCTTTGCTCGACCGTGATATGAACAAATTAACGATGACACGGCGACGGAAGTGCTACATTTGCAAAGCGAAATCTTTTACGTAACGGAATTTTCCTTGCTTACGGTTATTCGGATTTAATTAATCCGAGATTCTTTGTCTTCGTTGTGAGAATCTTTTCAAGGAAAAAATGTCCATTTTATGATAATTAAAAGACATTTATTAAAACATGACTGAAAGATAACTCGATTTTGACGTGTTTTCAATAGCTCTTAAAACTTTAAAACTGTTTGGATTGTATCTGAGCTTTGTCTAGAATAAAAATATACATGCGTGTTTGATATGAGAAAAATTAAGTTAGTATATATCGTTAAATATTATTTCTCTAAACTTTTATCTTAGTAGCAATTTATCAACGATACATTCGGTATTATTATCTATCAAATGTTTGGGATGTGTTGAGCCAATATTGGACCAAAATATGCCAATATTATACTAATAAATTGTGCTACTAGGGTATCTCTCTTTTCGATTCAATCATCATAATTATATATAGACATAAAAATATTAAAGCGAATCTCAAGAGTAATTTCTATAAACTTATATATTAAATATTTATAAAAAATCAAGGGCGATCATTAATTATGATTAATTAGGATTATTATTTTATAATTACACAAAATTAATGTTACATAAAATTATATAAAGTTAATAAAGTATTAAAAATATAATTTTATTATTTTATATAGATACAAAATGTTTTGATCATACATTACTTTTGTCGCTACTGTTTAATCCCGTGAAAAACGTGAAGCGAAAAAGGCGGATCATAATATTTTTAAACAAACTCATCTCGAAAGTCAATTGTGGATTCAATTTCGCGGAATCAATTCTCGGTGTTGATTACGTTAACAATCCGCCTACTCTTTGCATATTCCCGCTGCTGCGATAATCCGCGATCTTCTCGCGGAGATGAATCAGCGCTCAGACGAAAACGAGGATCTTCTCGGAAAGATCTCACGAGAGACGTGGCGCTTCTTATCGTTGTTGCCCCACCGTCTGCCCCGCGACTCTATTATTATATTATACTAACACGCACAACGAAGGGCACGAAACTCGATCTACCGACAAAATTGGATCTGTGACGGCTATCGCCTTTCTTCCCGAGAATTCGACGTGTGTCGGAACTGATGCCAGTGGTGATGGTGTTAAGTATACGTCTCGCACGTGCACTAATCGTGTAGATAAAGAATATCTTTTGCTATATATGATGGAGAAAGAGGGAGGACAGACAGACGGTCCTCTTTCTCCGCCGCCACCCAAGTTTAAATGGTACCATTTGTGTTCTTTCACAGGTTCATTATATCGTTGTGATAAGGATTGACGAAGTTAATAATCAAAAGAGCGTGTTGACGTTAATAGAGAGAGACACAGTTAATATTAAATATAATTAATTAAAGAAAGAATTATACTGTATATAATAATGTATACTTTATTTCATAACTTTATTAAAAGAAAAAAGTATACATGTATATACTTATACTTTGTATATTGTACATATATTCTTTTAAAAATAAAAGTAGCAAATAAAATATACGAGTTTATATGCGATCAGATATAAATAAAAACATAAATATATTTACATATATATGCAATATATTTTCGTTAGGCATAAGTAAGACCAAAATTAGTATAAATTTTAATTTTATTATATACATATATACTTATTTTATTTACACTAAAAGAAAGTCTGATAACAATAATAAGGTCTACATTATTATAAAGCTTTGGTGAAATAATTTTTAATAAATGTTCGATTGATATAATAAAAAAAAACCAACTAACTTTATTTTTTTAGGCATTACTTCTTACTTTTTTAATTATTATCAAACGGTTGGTTACTATTATTATGTTTGATAATATGTATTAAATATAATTGTACCAATGTGCTAAACAAAATACATTTCATATCATCAAATCTTTTTTTAGTGATATTGAGAGAAATCATGCTATTTATTTGTGCAGAAGAGGGAAAAAAAATAAAAATCATCGTTTTTATATCGAGATATCGATGTTTGTAAGCTTATGGAATATAAATTTAGAAAGTGGAACCAATTCCTTTTAATTTATGTGCTTTCCACAAAATATCATTATCGCATGACTGCATTAACGAATAAATTGAAAATATCATGATCTGTTGGGCTTCTAATAATGTTACGAATGAAAAATGTACGATCGTTAAACAAAAAAAAAGTAATTTATTCAAATACTCAATTACTTTTTTGTTCAGATATGTAGAATTAAATAAAATATATATTAATCAACGATCGTCTGTTCTTTTGCATATCATTGCCCAAGTTCTTCTTTGTCTGTGCTTCTCTATTTTTTAAAATTAAGTTCTTTATTTTTCTGAACATCATGTTATACAATATAAAATGATGATGGATTCCCATAATCTCGACGCCGATACTTTTTGTTTAATCTTGAGACATGTCTAAAAATATAACTTAACACTGCATGATTGTACAATGCGTTATTTTAAAATTAAAAATATAACCTTTCTGTTATCAATCAATCCAATTGAAAATTAAATAATAAATAGATAATTGAAGGACTCTTGATAAGTTAAAATAATAAAATAATGGGACAAATGAGAATCAAACACTGTAATTAGTGCGCATAAACTAAGATTTATAATATATTATTATATTAACTTAAATTATCCAAGTAGAACAACAAGTCATTATGATATCAAAATAATGTCAAAATGACTTCAAAATGATCATTAAAAGTCATTTTCAATCATTTCCGATTCATTTTACTGTCATTTTGATGTATTGTGACTTGTTGTTCTACTTGGGCATATATATATATATATATATATTAGGTGTTGGAATTAATTCGTAGCGTTTTTTAATGAAAGAATGTTATTTATTTCACATGAGCATTAAAAAATACATTAATGAAAGTACTTCCCATCACTTGTAAAACGCTACGAATTAATTCCAACACCTAATATATATATATATATATATATATGTGTGTGTGTATATATACATTACAAATAAGAATTCATTTTCCGTTCTCAATGAAAACCATACTAGTAGTTACATTGTTCGATACTGTTTACGCTCACATGAATTCCAATGAGAACTGGGGATGTCAAAAAGATAAAATATATAAAACGTTCGGATTCCTCTTTGTAATCTGTAATTGAAATTAATGATAATACTATATTGTGAATTTTAGTTTATGCGCACCATTCTAACTACAGCATGTAATTCTTACTTTCCCTATTGTTTTATTATTTAAACAATAGAAATATTAATATCTAATTTCAAATATTTTTCTAAACTGTTATGTCTTATCTCATACAGTACAGAATTTGCGGCGATATTGCTGCAAAATCTCTGCGATATTGCTGTAACATACTGTAACATGTTGCAGCGGTATTACTGCAACTTTTGTGCAATTTTGTGCTGTAGGAGATTGTCTCATTTCAAAGAAACAGGAAACAAGAAAAAAGGTTACTGAGCTTTCCTGTCGTAGGTTATTTACGAAAAGCACAAGCTGTTCTATTCTTTTTAGAACGACGCCGCCATTTGAAGCTTAATATTTCAAAAATAATCAATAATAATAATAATAATATCGCTCAACTTCTAATATTCAGCTTCCCCATTATAATCATTATTTCGCTGGAAATTAAAGCAGATTCGGGACGGATTTAAAATAGGCTAGAAGGTCTAAAATTAGGCTAAAAATAAAGAATGCCGCTGGCGACTTAAAGCAATTAGGAGCCTTAGGCCCTGCGATATAAGGAATTAGGAATAAAGAATAAATTCAATCTATCAGAAACCGTATATTCCAATGTATTCCAATGTATCCAATTTCTGATAGGTTAAAATTGTTTATTCTTTATTCCTAATTTCTTGTTACTTCTACTATGCACAGGGCAGGACCTTAGAAATAAGAAGGTGTGCCTACCTTTATTAACGTCGATTTTGGCGTCCGCGAGAGCTAGGCAATGCGCGTTGCGGAGGACGTTTCGCATTGTATTCGGGTTAGGCGCAAAGTCTGGATCGTCCGCATCGAAGGATACGCTTTCCTCAAATTCCGTCAACGTTGTCGCCTCTGTCACACCTCGTCGATGCATCGTGAGAACGAAGAACACGATGCGAAAACCTCGAGCTGTCTAAAACATTGTGAGCAAGCAAGCCGTAAAAATATCATCATTCATACTTGCGGAATTGTAAAGTTCAAAATCATTATGCTGTACAAGTGTATTTTCATTGTGACACGGAGGATTACATAAAATATCATATGTGAACACTTTTTATCGTGTATAACTCTAATTATTCGAGTACTCAAAGCTGGTTACAAATTCACTGAAAAAAGTCTGGTAATAAGTAACTACCAGACATATCTTATTTAGCATATTGGTGCAATATTTAATAAATATTATCAAACATAATAATAATTAGCTATATAATAATAATTAGAAAAGTAAGACAATATCCACAGAACACAAATTGACACTAATATTATATCAATGTTACAATTTTCTACTCAACAATGTAACTATTACATACAACTTACTTATATTACATGTATTATATTATGTATAACTGTTACGTACAACATGTTATATTATATTTATATTGTTAATAGGAAATTATAATATTAATGTAATGTTACTGTTAGTTTGTATTCTGCGGGATATTTAAAAAATTAAAATTAGAGTTTAATCGCCTATACAGCACAAATGATCCCAATAATATTGCAGCAACATTACAGCGTTCTAATAATATGTTGGAGCAATGATGCTACAAACTTCTGTACTGTACAGTTTATATTAACCAAACATTTGCCCGGTAAAAATTTTTTTATGTATTAATATGTATAAATATGTATAAACATACATAAACACGTATAATCATATGTCTATATATATTCATACATTCCTCTCTCTTTTTTTTACAAAATTACTTTTTAGTGTAATAGAAATAACAATAATAATATGAAAACATAAAAAAAAAATTAAAGGGATAATTTTTGCATTATTCCATTTTAGAGAAAAACAAGTTTGGAGAAATATTTAAAAAATTACTCATACACAATTATGCATAATTTTATATATAATTGCACATAAGTAATTTTTTTACATTTCTTCAAACTTGATTTTTTCTAAAATAAATAGCGTAAAAATTACTCTTTTAATTATTTTTAATGTTTTCACATTGCTATTGTTAGTTCTATTACACTAAAAAGTAATTTTAAAAGAAAGATGGATGTATAAACATGTATGGACACATTTTATATAAAATTATTATATAAGTTTACAAATATTTAAGTATGTTCATACATATTTGTACATATTCATGGATGAAAAATTTTTTATCGGGGGTTGCAATTACTTACTAAAGCTTTAGTAATTATTTTGTTTAAGTTTGATCATTATCACCAGACTTTTTTTTCATTATGCATTTTGCGTCATCCGTCATAATTCAGTTATTTTGACTCTTTCGCCGAGATCAAGCTAACAGTAAGCAAACTGAAGTTGACGGTATGTCGCGCGATTACAGGATTATGCAAATTGCGCAGCGATAATAATTATTACCTGTAATCTGCAATGATAATGCGAAATGCAATGATATCACATCGACATGTTCAGCTCAACTTGTCGTTGCCGTCACCTTCGCGACATTCACTATCGGTTTCATGAAAGATTCGGAAAGCCGTTCTCTTTTCTCTTTCTCCTTTTTCGTTGATCTGCACGCGACGACAAGCAGCGGTCGACTGACACCTGATGTACTTATCGCACGGAAAAATCGTCATAAATGGCCTCGCTGACTAATGGCGCGCAGCTAACTTCAAGACGATGTCACAAAGACATGAAGTTCGCTTTTCATTTTTCTTTCAAGGATTTGCGATTTGCAAGATCAATAAGAGCAACTTATTTTTAAATCTATCTTTTTTTAAACTCTCTTTAAGTCCACGTTTTGATAACAGAAAGATTATTACGAGGCTTTGTACGTGGCTTTATAATGCATATTGCGAGGAGATAACCATAATGTAATTGTGGGACCGAAGTCATTATAAAATTTATATGAAATCTCTATGTATAATCCAATAATTACATATATTATGCAATCATAAGAAATGATTGTATAATATTAAATAAAATCATATATTTTACCAAATGACTTCGTATGTAGTGAACAAAATTATTTACAATCAAATGAAACTATATGAAATCATGTAATCTGTGGAACAATATTTCAGCTAGTGATTACTTACTTGGCATATTGTCGTTATTGTTAATATTGTCACTTACACTCTGAGACGCTAAATGCGTGCGCTAATGCGTTTTAATTTTAATTTTGCGAAATTTTCACAAGGAATTGCAATGTGTCAGACTGTAGGTGAAAGAAAACAATACACACAAATGCGTATATAATGCAAAGAATTTGTTTAATTATTTCGGAACATGCATTGTAGATGCACTCTGAGACGCTACTGTTTTGTACGATTTTTTTACTTTTTGAAAATATGAGTTTTTTAGAGACACTGTAATATGTCAAAATATGAATGGTGAGAAAACAATACGTATCATAAATGATGTAATGCAAATGATTCATTTAATAAAGTAATAACTCCAGAACATATTATACATATATCTATACGCTCGACAAAGACTGAACTGCAATTTATAGAGACTGCGTTTCACTTAACGCTCGCAACGCTCGCGAACATCTTTTGTCCTTGTTTAACATTTGATAAACGACAAGGATGAAATGATTCTACGAGCGTTGTGAGCGTTGAGTGGAACGCAGCCAGTCATTTGGTTAAAAAAGAAAATAAGAAAGAAAGGATCTTATTTTACAAGCCTGTAAAAAAATCTACCACAGAATAAAAAGAGAAACAGCCAATTTTGCATCATACATATGTATATGCATTGTATATATTTCATACAAAAATAACACATTTTAGTTATTATTTCTGTGGAATTATGCAAAGTTCAACAATGAATAATATATTTTACATATTTAATAATATTAAATTGATTGAAAAGCTTGCGTATATCTTTTTCTGCTATTATTTTTATTATTCTTTATATAGGAGTAACATGAAAAATATAAAAGAATTTTCTTTAATCGATAAAATGTGATAAAATATTCTTATTTTATTAGTATATTATAACATATAATTATAATAAAGAATATAAATGCTTAGATAATATATTGTTATTTTCGAATTGTCTATATTACTTTAATATAATCTAAATTATACTGTATTCTCAGTACAGTGTGTAACCAGGACTATATATACAGGGTGTTTTAAAATTCGCGCCCGCGAAGTACAAGACGTCATATTTTATACTAAAAGAAACAATTTTTCTTTTTGCAGAATTGCGTTTGACAAGTAGTTTTTGTAGGAAAGCAGGTTGAAATTGTACGAATAAATATAAAAATTATTTATCGAATGTAATTTTACTACAAGAAAAAGTTGTTCGTTTTAGCACAAAAAACAACTTTTTCCTTTAGCAAAATTGCATCTGATAAGTAGTTTTGCAGGAGAGCAGGTTGAAGTCAATAAATAAGGATAAAAATTATTTATCGAAAGCAATTTTGTTAAAGAAAAAAGTTGTTTGCTTCAGCATAAAGTATCACGTCTCGTTTTTTGCGGGTGCGAATTTTGAAACACCCTGTATATAGAGGAAAGGTCCTCTATTATGAGATACCGAGTCTATTTTGGATAAATGTTAGGAGTCTATGGGCAGAATTTAAAAAAGTAATAGGTCATTTTAAAGGGAATTTAATAAGCTTTAAGATAATGTTACATAAAATTTAATTCAAATTCCATTTTTTTGAAAATTAAAGAATGTAAAAAGTGAGCAAATCGTAAAGTCAAAAAATTGTGCTCTTAACATGAGATGCCGCGAGAAATCGATAGTAAAACGCAAAATATATCAGTATTGCAATTAAAAAACTTTATTTAATATTTTTAAAATACAAACAAACACAGCCAGCGTGCGCGAAAAATGAGCATGCGATAGATTATATCCAGAACTCGTTTTCAGGTAGTTTGAATCAAGCATATATAGGCACTCGACGTTCATTCGGTTATCTTTTTTATTATTGTACAATAACATTTATACTTTAGCAACGATTTTCATTGACATAAGAGCATGGATTATTTCATATTAGGAATACCCTGGATATCTCATATGATTTCCACGTCTTATGATTTTACGATCATCAAATCTAATTTCTGTAATTAAATAATTCAACATATCCCGTATTTTTCTATTAGTACGACTTTACTCTATCACTACATGAAGAATTTACTGTTAAATATTTATTTTTTAAATATTTATTAAAAACAAGATTTAAATGCTCATCTCAATGAAACTTAAAGACATTCAAATTCTAAAATCTTATTTACAATGACTACAGGCATGATCTAATAATGAATTTTCTACTAGTTTTTAATCCAAAAGCAATAATCATGATAGAACCAATAGATAACGTTTATTAATTTAGCAGAAATGTCACTGTCTCATATTAGGCGCTTATCTCATAATAAGGGGTTTCTATATATATAATTTTCTTCTTTAAATCTTCTTTATCTTTAAACAATGTTACTATATTTTTATTTTGTTGCGAAAAAAGAACTCGTAAAAATTAAACTGCAGGTCTTTGTAACATCTAAAATTATATTAATATTATATTATTAAAATATTGATTTATTAACAAAGAAAAATAACTACGGAGCTGGAACACGAGATTGTACAAAAATAATTTATAAATATATATCAATTATAGTATATTGTACTGCTACATATTAGATGTGTTTATTCGTTCTTCGTACGCATTCCAAAGTTCTTTTTTGTATTCTAAAGTGGCCTTTAGATAACCGTTACGCGCCTCCGTGATACCCCTGCCAACGACTGCTAAATCAGCACCCGCATTAATAACCGATTGCGGATCGTTGTATTGTTGACCTAGCCCGTCTACACTTTTGGCAAGCTTGACACCAGGTGTCAAGTGGAGTAGTCCAAGTTGTGCTGAGAGTTTGGATTGACATACGAATCCTACCACCAAATCAGAAGCTTCCTCTGCCATTAAAACTGCGTTCTTTAGGTAATCACCAGTCGTCAATGCACCTTTGCACGACATCTCGGCAACTAAGAAAATACCACGGGGTTCAGTGATATTATCTAAACTTTTCTTCAGTGCGTCAATGACGGATGCACCTGATATCGGATGTACGGTAATCAAGTCGGCCCATTCAGCTATCTTATAAAAGCCGTGTCTGTATTGTAACGATACCGTGTTGCCGATATCGCCGAACTTGCGATCTTCCATCAATAAAAATCTGTGCTGCCTCGCTAATTCTTTGAGCCGAAAAATAAAGTTTTCATTGAAGTCCTCTATGATATCTACGTGAGTTTTCAGCACGGCGATATGAGGTCCCACTATGTTTGCTAATTCCAAAATCGCATCCATTTTCGTTAGGTCTGCTGCCAAACAGAGATTAGTTTGTTTTGATTCCATTAGCTCCAATAGTTTTGAGGCCAATGGATTTGTTGTTAATTTTGCGCGTTTACTATATGACAGTTTCAATCTGTCATCTGGCACACCTATAAGCAACATTAAGATAACAAAATTACAATAGAATATTTTATAGATACCTATAAATATCTATATACATGTATTCACAATAGAACTCTGTTTATCTCAACATGTCGAAGGATAAGAAAGAATTATCTGATAATCATAGTTCAGATAAGAGAGGTTCATCAGCTTTTCTCTTTATCAGTACTTATATTAGTTCCAATAATATAAGTTAACATTCAGAAAACAGGAACACATTGAGTAAGTCGAGTTCCTATTATCTGGCGCCATAGTTCTGATAATAACTCAGCTATGAATTTGTATGTTTGAAACTGATTGTGAAGTATTTGGAACTTGTTCATATAAATGGAATGCAGATAAACAGAGTTTTACTATACTATATATATAAGTCATAAATTAGAATATAGTAACATATAAGTCATAAAATATATGTATTACAAATAATTTACCTTGAACAGAAATGCTCGGTGCTTGATTTGCTGCCAAATAATTGTCAACATCTTTGACTATTTCAGGTGTGATCTTTCCAGCTTCCAAGAGGTACTTCATAAGCTGTGTAATCACGAACAAACTCTTAACTTTAATCTCGTGATTTTCAAGATTCTTTTTGCCACCTTGCTCCCTATCGATTAGCACATAAGCTTCTGTCACACTTAGATTTTCCTTTTTCAAGACATCGACAGTTTCTAGAATACTGCTGCCACTTGTTATAACATCCTCAATAATCACGCAATTTTCACCAGGTAAGAAAATACCCTCAATTAACTTCTTTGTACCATAAGACTTTGCTTCTTTTCTCTTCATTAACATGGGAATCTTCTCTTCTACTGATATCAAAGTAGCTAATGGCAATGCAGTGTATGGGACACCACAGATTCGAGACACTTTCGCAGGATCATCCACCAATGTCCACAGAGCTTTTGCCAATTTCAACTACAATAAAAAAATAAACATCATATACATTACATAACACATAAAACCAAATTCCGCTAAACTTCAATTAACTCAATTGGCAAAACCACTTACAACAAAATGTTTGATTGTACAATCTATTATCTTGAATTTTTTCTACTTGTCAAAAATAAACATTTTCATCC